GCTCAGATGATAGTGTGGAATTGAACTAAAAAAATCATGCAAGTGAGTCTCACCAAAGATCAACGTTCTTTAGAAGGCATTAGATTTTTCTATGTGCACCCTGCTAAATCTGCAATTGGGAACTTAGGAGCAATGATGGTGGTTATTGGGACCCTTTGAAAGTAAACAAGCCAGTGTAAAAAATACTCAACTCCTACAAATTAATCCGATTTGCTATGTTTAGTTTTTCCCCTTCTTGTCATCATCGTTTCTGGGAATAGTTTTCTTGGGATTTACAGAATGGCCTCTGGCAGTTACAAGGTGTTTCTCTAAAGCTTGAAAGGAGCTTAAGGCTGCTGAGGGCTGCCATAATAGATAGCCCACGCAGACACAGCAAAGGAAATGTTTCCAAGATACTGGTCAGATGTCATCACTGAAAGTTGCACCTTTTCATTTTTCACGGGTCACTTTATAAATCTTCTCAGAGATGAGTTTACCTTTTCCAAGGAGTTTATTTTTCACTGCTAGTTCTAGTTTTTCTTTTAATTAAAAGTGAGAGGGGGACAAGAAGAAAGAACTCAGCCCAGGACAGTGCTCTTTCACCTAAGTTGTGGCATTTTTATGCAGCAGTCAGGAGTTCAGGTTGCAGTCTTGGGGTCTCGTGATTGAGGCCATCAGGGACATTAAGTATTTTCAGATCCAGTCTGGTGACCACAGTGCTATATGCACACAAAGCCATGTGGGAGACCTGGGTTGAAATCCTGATCTCTTGCTCCCCAAGTGGAGGGGAATCCCAGTGTGGTTAGTTTACTTGCAGACTCAGAGATAAAAATCTTAGATGTATATTTTACAAAGTGCAAATTTGCACCACAAATATGTCCGTAGAGGTCAATGTAGACAGGTGCTGTTATGCAGACAAAACTACACAGGATCATTTTAGGGGAGAAGACAAGATGTCACGTTTATTATAACACAATTTAACTTATGACCAATAACTAATATCTAATACCTATGTGTGTATACATACACACACACACACCCCAAATGTTCTGCAGCTGCTGTATAGTTACCAGTCCTGAATGTAGCTTGAGTTCGTGGCTTGAGTTCGTAGCTTGTGGCGGCTAACTAGCCAGGAAAGCCGGGCACAAGGAAGAGCTGGGTCTCTGTTGGGCATGCACCGATGCCCTTCCATGTTGGCAGCAGAATGTCACCCTCCAAAGTCTTCCATCTCATCCATCCTTTTTGTAGGCTTTAGTTTGAATCCAGAGTCTATCCGTCTTGCTGTGGCACGCTGCCTCTGGGTTCGGTGTGATTGATTACCCGTCAGATGCAGACATGACTTTCAGCCTAGGAGCTGGCTTTGATGTTTCTTCAATTGTACTTTTGTTCTTTTCTTTTTAGGGTGGACTCTTCTTGCTTTGTTAGGGCTGTTGTCTGCATCTTCAGCCGTTGGTGTTTACACTTTATTTCATCAGGACAGGCTGGGGCTGGAGGTTGATTCCATCGTCCATACATACCTCATTCACACATCTAAACTAAACTAATAAGATTACAGCAGGGTTTTGCAAAAATGAAGGTTGCAGCAAGCTTTTACAACATGGAGTGAGCATTTTAAAATGGAGTTTGGGCAAGTTAAAATGGACTTTGAGTTACAATATGGACAAGTGTAAGGAATGGCAAACAGTGAACGGAAGTTACAATGTTGAAACAGTGTAAATTTCAGCGATTTAAGCAGCAATTGGATTGAAAGTGAAACTCAGCCAGTTATTGGGGTAACTGGTTTTATGAATGAATGTTGTTTCATTCATAAAACTTTGCTTATGAAGTTATATTAATAAAATGAACAATGAAAAACAATTTCATTGATCAGTTCTACAGTGCTTGTATTGATGTATCAGAATGGAAAGTCCATGTTTGGCCTCATGCCAAGAGAAACGAACTGCCATTCTTCCAAGTAAAACAAAGGTGTAACCTCTCCATTTCCAGTGGAATAATGGTTCTGATGTTGCACGGTGGTAAATTCCCCATGAAGCCTCAGAGACTCAAGGTAAGTTGATTGGTTGTTTTCAGAGAGCCACCTGATGTGGGGGAAGGAACACATCTCTTCTCTTAGGGTATGTGTAAATAGCAAAGAAAAACTCACTGCTGGCCCATGCTAGCCCATGCAGGGCTTGGGCAGTGGGACTGTTTCATTGCTGTGTAGACTTCTGGGCTCAGGCTGGAGCCCAAGCTCTGGGACCCTCCCACCTCGCAGGCATAGGGGCTTTAGGGACTGATACAGCACCTATTGAAATCAGTGAATTAGGCTGTTAGAGTGTGGAGAGGACTCATTAGGGCATGCTTCCATTTCAGAGAAGGAATGTCATGAAATATTATTTATGAATATTGATGCATGTATGTTGCAGTTGACAGGCCTCTGGTAACCACTGTGCATCATTTAGACTCTGCTGTGAACCTGTGCACAGATGTGATAGCTGGCTTTTGAAATACACACACACATTTCTTGAGTCTACCACAAGGCCTCTCTTACCAGAAGTGTTAGCAAGTTTCAGCATGTAGCTTATCACTGAAGAATGACCACAGACGCTATCTATCCCAACTTGGATTTAGCTCACCTACTCTGATTTCTTTTTCCAGACCAGAAGAAGAACGCTTTAACTCAAAATCTTGTACCTTCCACCAATAGAAGTTGGTCCAATAATAGATATTACCTCATCTACCTTGTCTCTCTCACAAACATGTTGGCATTGAAAGGGCACTTTACACTGTAGGGGAAGATGTGTACAAGACTGTTCTGTTGTTTCCTCTAAACCAGCACTATCTCGCAGCTAACTTCAACATTGGTAGACTGTCACTTTTTTGTTATACTCCTGTGTAGCCAGCTTTGGGAATCATAGAATCATAGAATATCAGGGTTGGAAGGGACCTCAAGAGGTCATCTAGTCCAACCCCCTGCTCAAAGCAGGACCAATCCCCAATTAAATCATCCCAGCCAGGGCTTTGTCAAGCCTGACCTTAAAAACTTCTAAGGAAGGAGATTCCACCATCTCCCTAGGTAACTCATTCCAGTGTTTCACCACCCTCCTAGTGAAAAAGTTTTTCCTAATATCCAACCTAAATCTCCCCCACTGCAACTTGAGACCATTACTCCTTGTTCTGTCATCTGCTACCACTGAGAACAGTCTAGAGCCATCCTCTTTGGAACCCCCTTTCAGGTAGTTGAAAGCAGCTATCAAATCCCCCCTCATTCTTCTCTTCTGTAGACTAAACATCCCCAGTTCCCTCAGCCTCTCCTCATAAGTCATGTGTTCCAGTCTCCTAATCATTTTTGTTGCCCTCTGCCGGACTCTTTCCAATTTTTCCACATCCTTGTAGTGTGGGGCCCAAAACTGGACACAGTACTCCAGATGAGGCCTCACCAATGTCGAATAGAGGGGAACGATCACGTCCCTCGATATGCTGGCATATTACTAGTGTGAGGAAATCAAGTTTTATTAGGCTTTTCATTAAATAATCTATAGATGATCACGAATCTTAGCTCAGGATCTGAACACACCAAACTTCAAAAAAGTTTTGAACCAGATCCAAATTTAATAGCTGGCCTTCAGTTCCATAGTGGGCTGCTCCTAAACTTCCAAACTTGAAGTTCAGTTCAGGCCTGAACTTTGTATCTTGGACTCATCTTATAGAATCAGTATTGCTGTTTGTTTTTGTTGGACACCCAGTATTAAACATAGAAAGCAGTTGTACAGTGAGGCCACAGATTGCAAATGAGTCTTAAATTATTGGAATAGACTCCGGGGATGCTAAACAGAAAATTGCTTACAAATTAGGGTGTGGCAAAATCTGTGCTGGTAGATTTTATCAAAATGTTTTGAACCTCTATTTGCCTGTTTAATTTTCTAACCCACCAAAGGATGGCTTGTAGTCCTTTTTCTGTTTTGTCCTCTGCTTTATAATGTCAACATTTCCAGAATCCTTTCCTGAGTTCAAATGCACATAGCAAAATTCTGTATGCCACTACTAAGGAAGGGAAGGAACTGTTTAGGGTAGTACAGGGAGGTATCATAAACAAAGGTGATAATTAAGAAAAGAAAAATCCAGCTGACTAGATAAGGGAAAATTCCTGCTGGTGAGAGATTCTTTCTGGTAAGGTCTCCTAGACTGTGGTGTAATCTCCCAAGAGAAGTGATGGGAGTCTTGTCGTTTGGGATGTGGGAATGTGGGGGTGAAAGGGCTTGAGGGTACCCCACAGGGAAGAATTCCCAAGTGCTCCTTCCTGGGTCCAAAAGAGTTTTTTTGCATTTGGGTGGTGGCAGCATCTATCCATCCAAGGTCAGAGAGAAGCTGTGACCTTGGGAGTTTTATACAAGCCTGGAGTGGCCAGTATTAATTTTTAAAACCCTTGCGGGCCCCCACCTTCTGCACTTGAAGTACCAGAGTGGGGATCAGCCTTGACAATATGGGACAAGGGCTCCTGCATGTAACTTCTCCATGGCGCAATCAACAAAGTTTTTCTACAGCGGCCCATTTAGTCTTGATAGTCCTTCTTGGTGTGTGGGGAGCCCCTCTTCATGCCTAGGTTCACAAGTTCAGAGTAGGCATTTTTACAATTGTAAAGCTATCTTATAGCACAGGATACAGACATAAAAGTAAGATTAATGCATGCAGCAACGTACAAGCATTTTATAGAGACTAAACACATTCTTACAAGTCTAACACCTATCTTGAACAATAATATATAGGTGAGCTGGTCTGGCTTCCAGCTATACATTTGTCAGTGCTCAGCTGACGCCTACAGACTTGGCAAGAGCTGGCACCCGGGTTGCCAATGTGTCATACGATACTTGCAACATGTTGCTTTATACAGTCAATGCACCGTCAAGTTAAACAAAGGACTTCAGTCTCCAAGGCTGTCAAGCTTGTGTCTTTCACTAGCATAAAGTTCACTCACATTTACCTACAAAAACCAAATAGTTTCTCCAGTGCCTGGTTAAAAACCTGCTTGGCATTTTTAACAGGAATATGATGAGGAGTGGGCTAAGAAGATCCAGAGTGAGAAATTCCGATGGCACAACTCTCAGTGGCTGGAGATGGTAGAGAGTCGACAGATGGACGAGAGTGAGCAGTACCTGTATGGGGATGACCGCATTGAGCCCTACATCCATGAAGGGGATATTCTAGAAAGACCTGACCTTTATTACAATTCAGGTAAGATGATAGAATATATTCAGTATCTGTCCACACCTTCTCCTGTTTTAACATATCCGAACATGGGACCAGATTCTCAGCTGATTGGTTGCAGTGTAGCTGTGCTGACTTACACTAGCTGGGGATGGTTATGTTACCTCATGTTATGTTGTAATGTGTGTTGTGTTATTGTGGGACTCTGAACAGCACATTCATGATCTGGCAGATCTTTACAGGAGCGCTTGAAAATGTAGTGGAGAGTAGGAGAAATAGGCTATCTACTTCACACTAGCTTATTCAGCAGGCTCATACATATGTATGTAAAACTGGCCTGATCTTATAGAATTATAGAATCATAGAACTGGAAGGGATCTCGAGGAGTCATCTAGTCCAGTCCGCTGCATGCGTGGCAGGACTAAGTATTATTTAGACCATCCCTGACAGGTGTTTGTCCAACCTGCTCTTAAAAATCCCCAATGATGGAGATTCCACAGCCTCCCTAGGCAATTTATTCCAGTGCTTAATCACTCTGACAGTTAGGAATTTTTTCCTAATGTCCAACCTAAACTACCCTTGCTGCAATTTAAGTCCATTGCTTCTGTCCTATCCTCAGAGGTTAAGAAGAACAATTTTTCTCCCTCCTCCTTGTAACAGCCTTTTACATACTTGAAAACTATCATGTCCCCTCTGTCTTCTCTTCTCCAGACTAAACAAACCCAATTTTTTCATTCTTCCCTCTTAGGTCATGTTTTCTAGACCTTTAATTGTTTTTGTTGCTCTTCTCTGGACTTTCTTCAATTTGTCCACATCTTTCCTGAAATGTGGTGCCCAGAACTGGATGCAACACTCCAGTTGAGGGTTAATCAGTGTGGAGTAGAGCGGAAGAATTGCTTCTCGTGTCTTGCTTACAGTACTCCTGCTAATACATCCCAGAATGATGATTGCTTTTTTTGCAACAACGTTACACTGTTGACTCATATTTAGCTTGTGATCCACTATGACTCCCAGATCCCTTTCCGCAGTACTCCTTCCTAGGCAGTCATTTCCCATTTTGTACGTGTGTAACTGATTGTTCCTTCCTAAGTGGAGTACTTTGCATTTGTCCTTTTTTAATTTCATCCTATTTACTTCAGACCATTTCTCCAGTTTGTCCAGATCATTTTGAATTTTAATCCTATCTTCCAAAGCACTTGCAACCCCTCCCATCTTGGTATTGTCCGCAAACTTTTTAAGTGTACTCTGTATGTCATTATCTAAATCATTGATGAAGATATTGAACAGAACCGCATCCAGAACCGATCTCTGCGGGGCCACTCGTTATGCCCTTCCAGCATGACTGTGAACCACTGATAACTGCTCTCTGGGAACAATTTTCCAACCAGTTATGCACCCACCTTATAGTAGCTCCATCTAGGTTCTATTTCCCTAGTTTGTTTATGAGAAGATCATTCAAGACAGTATAAAAAGCCTTACTAAAGTCAAGATATATCACATCTACTGCTTCCCTCCTATGCACAAGGCTTGTTACCCGGTTAAAAAAAAGCTATTAGGTTGGTTTGTCACAAATTGTTTTTGACAAATCCATGCTGACTGTTACTTATAACCTTATTATCTTCTAGGTGTTTGCAAATTGATTGCTTAATTATTTGCTCCATTATCTTTATGGGTACAGAAGTAAAGCTGACTGGTCTGTAATTTCCCGGGTTGTCCTTATTTCCGTTTTTATATATGGGCACTATATTTGCCCTTTTCCAGTCTTCCAGAATGTCTCCCATCTTCCATGACTTTTCAAAGGTAATTGCTAATGGCTCAGACGTCTCCTCAGTTAGCTCCTTGAGTATTCTAGGATGCATTTCATCAGGCCCTGGTGATTTGAAGACATCTAACTTGTCTAAGTAATTTTTGACTTGTTCTTTCCCTATTTTAGACTCTGATCCTACTTCATTTTCACAGGCATTCACTATATTAGACATCCGATTGCCACCAACCTTCTTGGTGAAAACCGAAACAAAGAAGTCATTAAGGACCTCTGCCATTTCCACATTTTCTGTTATGCCTCACACCACCTTCTTGTGCCCATAGCTGGTTTTCTTTGCAAGTGAAACCAAATAAGTTTTTATCCCTGTTAACCTCCTGGAGCTGTGCAGCTATGGAAGTTGAAGCTGGATTCTGTTTTGCCTTGCGTGTCAGTTAAGATCCAACTGTGACATATTTGTTTCTGAGGGTGATGTAAGACTTAGAAAGAACCCATCTGGATGTGCAGATCCCTGTTTTGCTGGCAGCCAGAAAAATCATCTTTTGACTTCAGGATCTGAAGAAGAGCTCTGTGTAACCTCTAAAGCTTGTTTCCAACAGAAGTTGATCCAATAGAAGATATTACCTCACCCCCTCTCATTTGTCTAATATCCTGTGACCAACACAGCTACAACAACACTGCAAATAACTGATTTGATATAAATGTCCTACACAGAGAATATATCCTAGAGATTCCTGTGGTTTCCTTCTCTCAGTAAAACCTTGCTTAAAAGCTATCTTTTTACATATTCTGGTTTCCATTTTTTATAATTTTTTCCTTAAGAAAAAGTATTTTGTCACTTGAAAATTAGAATGGCTGCGGTCACAAAAAATGATGATGTAAAAGTGGAACCTTCTTACTCTATAGACGTGGTCCCTATGTGTATGCAGTCAGTGGTTTTAAAGAAAAAATAAGTGTTTGCTAATTTTTACTCATATCAGTAATGCCCAGCCAAAAGTTCTGGGAGATGAAATGGACTCTCTTCATCTCTCACATCATTAAAGATTTTGCAGTTGCAATTTAGCTAGAAAAATAGGAATTTCCAGACTGGATCTGACCAATCCATCCAGTCCAGTGTGCTCTCTCCAGTGGTGTCTATTATCAGCTGCTTCAGAAGAAGGTGCAAGACACCCTGCGGAAGACAGTTTTAGAGTAACTTTCCCACAGGAGAAGTTTCTTCCTTAACCCTCTTTAGTTAGAGGCTGGCTAACACCCTGAAGCCTGAAGATTTATATCCCTGAAAAAACTCTTGCAGGGAGGGAAAGCCTGGTTATTCTTACCTTCTATATAAATGTGCAGTCCTTTGCTGCTGATGCATGAGCTTAGTTTGGGTTTCAGATCACAAGAAGAATTTTTAAGAAGGGTAATAATTTAAAAGACAACCCAAAAACCTTTCTGTTGTAAACTGGATACATTTTATCTGAAGTTACTGAGAGAGAATAAATATTGAAGTCCCCAATGCCAGTTTTACAGTTACTTTCAAAGTATGTCAGCACTGTAGTGTGCGGATGTACAGATTTGATTATATATGTTAGCCATAGCAATACTCATGCTTTATAGATTTATTTTTTTCCTTTTTGAACACTTTATCTAATTGCACTGAACCTATATGACAAACTCTTTGAGCAATTCATAGGATGTTACAGGGATCTCTTATTATAGCAATGCTTTTTGCACTTTCTGAAGTGAAAGATATGAAAGCATGCCCGTTGTAATCTTCCCTTTCCAGAGTTTTGCAATAGACCTTTGCTTGTTTCAGCAGACCATTTCTTTTCCCGGTAGTGTGTGTTAGGGACAGTGTGTGACCAGTAACTTTGAATTTCCTGGCTTTCAATAATTCGTGTTACAGACTTAATATTATTTGAACAAAGGTTTTTGTGTTGGAATTGATGTTTGACCGGGGGAGGAAGGGCAGATTTCCAATGATATGTTCTGCAGATGTTTGAAAAGTCTTTTTGGTTTTTTTAAGGTAGAAGAGTAAATGATTATATTCAAAATACAGATTCACTTTTTAGTTTCCTTCTGTCAAGGGCCACTAAGAGTGTGTTCTTGAACTCTGTTAGATTTATATTCTTGAAATGTGGTCAATGTACACACAATATAACTCTGAAAAGACTATGGATTATTATACCAACTGGAATCTTTTTTTACAGTTATATAGATTTCTGAAGGACTATTTGTTCATAAGTTCAAAAATCAAAACTTCATTCAGTCGGAACCAGCTTATTTATGAAAGTTCAGTATACTTTTATGGATGACCTGCTCTCTGATTGGCCGAAGCAAAATACACATCTCTTCTCTCAACCAGTAGGAATTCTGCAAATCACTAATGACATGAGTTATTATTGTGGTGCTGCATCAACACCATCACATAAAATGACTAAACCTACATTAGAATCTAAAGGGGACTCTAAAGTAACTTTCCATGAGTTCAGTGTTTCCTCAGCTTTGAATATACACATCCTTAATTTATGTCGAATATATGTAACAACAGATATTGATTAACCTGTAATTGCATTGTATGCAGCTGACACTGTGTACTTTTATATTCCTACAAATTCATACATTTGTTGTCCATAACTCCAAGCTTTATGGTTTGAATGCTAGTACTGTTGACTGAAGAAACCTTAACCTTAAGTGTGGTTACTTCAGTGTCAAAGTTAAAATGTAATGCTTTTTCCATTGATAAGGATGAAAAAAGTATTTAGATATATAACAATCCTGGTTTTGAGATATAAGTTTGACATAAAAGTTAATGTTTACAATATGAAATTACTTAATTTGCATATTTAAAATTTGAAAATATCTTTAGTGCAAAGATGCTTAGGTTCCATCTTATTTTTTTGTTTAACAATTCAGATAGAGAGAAAGAGAGACTCAATGTAAGTATTAATACAATTAATTAAATCTGTTTTCATTTGAAATATTTTACTCTATATAGCACACTTGCCTTTTGCCTGCATCTGAACAATGTGAAAAGACAGGATTATTTATTTGTCAGAATATTTTCTTGTCAGGTTCTATTCTCTCTCATGCTGTACACACATGTATGCAATTAGCTGTACGCTCTTCCACCGCATCTTACACTTCTAAAAATGCTGTCTGATCATGGCTAGCATTTTTCATTTACAATCTGTTACGTTGTCTTCAATCACTTTCCCATACACTATTATCTTCTAAATGAATCTCTGTAGCACCTCATCAAATGTCTCATGGAAATCTAGATGTGTCAGCTCTATTCCTTTTATCATTTGTCACTACATTATCTTAAAAAAAAAAAATCAGGTAAATTTGTAATGCAAAGAGAGATTTGTTTGAATGCCTGAGTCGTCCTCTTTAAGCCCGTGTCTGTAAGTAACTTTCCATTGCTTCCTGCTTAGGCAACTTTAGTAGCTTTGAAACCACAGAGGTTAAGCTAAGTGGCCTGTGATTCCCTGGATCTTATCTCTTTTACTTTAAAGTGGAATGGCATTTGTTACTTCCTAGTCATTAGGAATCTCTCTGTCATCTGTTAAACTATTAAAGTATCAGTCAGAATGCATCTGTTTCTTCCATGGGTTTTTTTTTATTGGAATGCTTTCTGATCTGTAAGGCTGGGGACTCACTTTTAAACGCTGCCTCAGACTTTCGTTGTTACTGTATATTTTAATAGAGATAGCCTTGTTTTCTCTAATAAAGCCTGGCACGTCTTACCAGGTAAAGAACTGTGCCCTTTTTATTAACAACTAATGTACCAAGAGTGTAAGAATAGCAATAATGATAAACAGTGCTTTCATTTTAACTGAAATAAATCTGGAGTGGTGGACTGACTCTGGATTTACACTGTGCAGCTTTTTCTTATCGGCTGTGGAGCTTGCCAAACCTATTGTAGCAGCCTCATTAGCCAGATTTAGAGACCTCAGACCACCATCCCATCTGGTCAGAGGGCAGTCGTCAGTGATGTGTGACACTGTCTTTGGCCATCGCCACATGTGGGATCCTCTTGTTGGCCCCAGGTATGAAGGCTCACATTGGGCCTGTCCCATTCTAAATTGATTCAGAAGGACCCATGAATGGCATGGCAAGTCAAAGCCAGGAACACGCCTGGTCGGTTCAGTTATAAGAGATTGGTCTGCAGTTGACTTCAGAAACCATTCTTCACACCACATTGACATTGCAGAGAAATCTGGGCAGGGTAGGTGGGCCCACAGTGGGTACTTCGACAACAAGCACGTTCTTGGGTCATCAAAAAAGTCTGTGTATAACGGTATGCTCGGGTTTGCCCTGATCTTCTGGCTGTAACATCCTCATGGCAGATGCATGGAGGAGTGATGTTACTTAACATAGGAAACCATGGCACTGGTGTGGGTTGAATCATCCCAGTTGCGATGCACTGTGGTTGAGTGTAGTTGTGTGTCAGCTAACTTGACATGGGCTGACTGGGGTCAGACCAGAACAAAGTATTCTGCTGCAGAGTAACATAGGGCTAAACTGAATGATCGGAGAGTTTGAAAGTTTGTTCCCCATGAAGTGGCACCCAGGGTGTTTTAGAATGTTAAGTGTCGTCACCTTAGCTGCAGTTTACCTCAGATGGCTGAGATATGTGAGAGATCTATCTAGGGTTTCTTTGAGGTAGATTGGGTGGAATTCATGTTTCAGGTGATGTCAGTCAAGAGAGATATTCAGTTCTTGGTCTGCTCTGGCATTGTGAAGATGGAACACACTCATAAATGCCTTGGTCACACGGACTACAGTATTTGGCCAACTTAATCAAATCAGAGTTTAGGACATCTTCAAGTTCTAGGAATAACCTTGCTTGGACGCCCAAGCAAATGTCATCTGCATATGTGAACATGCAGGACTGGGTGAGCAGAAGGATATTTGTGAACAGGTTGAAAAGCATTGGTGCCAGTACAGAGCCTTGTGGTAGATTGTTGGTTTCTTTTCCACATGCTAACTCTGTCTCCCATGTGGAAACATCTGTTGCAGAAAAGATCAACAATGTTGACTACCCATTCTGGGAGTGCTCTTGACAATTTGTCTAAGAGCCATGTGTTCCACGTCATGTCATATGCTGCTGTCAGATCCAGAAATATGGCTCCTGTCTTCAGGTTTTTCTGGAAACAATTTTTGCTCAGTGTTGTCAAAGCAGCACTTGATCACAGGTGCTCCAGCCTCTCCAACTCTGTTTGCTCCATGCTGAATATTGACTCCGTTTCTGGGGAAGGATGAGATGCTTCAGAACTTTGAATGGCATAGACAATGGAGATATCAGTCAATCACTTGCAACATTATGTGGGCTTTCCCCTGGTTTCAGGAGAGCAATGATTTTTAATATTCCCCATGTCTTTGAAAGTCGCTTTTCGTTGACCACACAGGTGAAGAACTGTGCCCGCCACTGGTGAGCACAAACCTTGAAGTGCTTCAAGAACTCTGGTAAAATATTGTCATAGCCAGAGCAGTGCTGCTCTTAATATCACTCAGAATTTTGTCTAACTTGGTGGCTGTGAACGGCTGTATTGCTAAGTGGCATTTCTCTGATGGAACTGACACCATTTGTCATTCTCATTTGGGGATTTTGACACATTCAACAGCTGGTGTAACTGAGAGTAAATTTCCATAATTTCCTGCTCTCTTCTGTAAACCAGGTAAGGCTGTGATTCCTTTAAGGCGTCGTAGTGACTTTATAAACACATGCACCTACTTTTACCAGTGGTGAATGTAAAAGGAACAAAGTAAAATTACTCTTAGCTAAGGAACTGTCCATTTCCTAGAGTTCCCCAGGAGCCTGTCATATGAAAATTATTTTTTATTTAGGCTAGTCTTATGAGGCATTAAACTACTGGGAAGGTGGGGGAAATCAAGTCATGAAGTTGCCTCCAGGAACAGCCTCAAAAAGAGGGTGGGGGCTAGTGGTTGAAGAATCAAGCCATAGGTTGCCTCATCATTTTTATTCCACTGACCTGGAAGTTGGTGTTTGGCTCTTTATTTACTTCTTCTCTGGTCCCAGTGCTGTGACGGAATGGGCAGGATTGGACCTTGTACATCTCTTCCAGTCCTGCTGGCAAAAGTGTGAGGGATACAGCTCTGAGCTGTGGCCCATCACAGGAGCTGTGAATTGGGCTGTGAGTGGTGAAGTCTGCTTCAGGCCCCGGTGAGTCTCTTGTCTTATTGAGCCAGGAGCTGGCCTTGTTTCTTGCAGCTTGTCTTTGATCCCTAAACTGACACAGATTGCTGACTGGAGCGTGCCTGGGATAAAGCAGCACTTGCTGTGTGGCCTGCTTTTCTGGCACCCCCAACAAGCCACTGTCTCTCAACCTCTATATTTCTTGTCTCTTCATAGATGGTCTGATAGCCCCTGATGGAGCAGTGAGTCCAGATTTCTTCAGTGATTATCATCTCCAAAATGGAGACTTAGTTGGGCAACGTCCCTTCTCCAGCAGGTAAAGCTCTTATTGGAAAGAATTTATGTAATCAGAAAATTACTAATTCAGGTTTCTTTTTAATGCTTGATTTACATTTTTTCAACTTGAGTAACTTTTTTTCCTTTCCAAAACATAAGCTTTAATAGGGTTACATTTTAAAACATACTTGGGGCAATGATTTACATCGAGAAAGCAGGTTTATGGAAATCATAGATCAAAACTTCATGGTGTTCTGTCACACTGGAGGATCCAGTTTTCCTTTTGACTTATACATTTCTTTAATACATTAATGTATGCATAGTATTTCCTGATAGCTTTCCAAAGGCAATAAAAATGGAATAGAAAACTAGAGCGCACAACTCATTACATGTTATGACAATTATTCAAACACTATTCAGGCATCATTGTTTGGAAATGTCTAAGGAGACGCTAGGGATTTGATTAACTAGCAGAATTGTTTCCAGTATTCTTAAGCTGTTAAAAATAAGTTTCTCAGCTGTCAGGATTGTTTCCTGATTTTACTCAATCTTCCCAGCTAACACTCAGCTTGATTACTGATGTCATATGCTTTGAAAATCTTGTGGATGGGTGAAAGATGTCTGTCTTTTGGCTCGACTTGTAGATTCCTGGAGCTGTTGGAGACATTTGTCTGAATTGCCCTTCTATTCTGACCTTTTCTCCCTTGTCATCTTAGCAAGCTGTTCCAATTTGGATCTCTGGACTGACTTTGTTCACAAGGTCAAATAAGAAAACTCCCATTTCAGAGAAGAAGATCCTTCCTTGTTCTTCATGGCATCTGTAGGGTTTAGGAAAGTCTTTATTTTATGTCAGGTTTCAGAGTAACAGCCGTGTTAGTCTGTATTCGCAAAAAGAAAAGGAGTACTTGTGGCACCTTAGTGGTCACTTTGGATAAGCTATTACCAGCAGGAGAGTGAGTTTGTGTGTGTGGTTTTTGGAAGGGGGTGGGGGGGGTGAGAAAACCTGGATTTGTGCTGGAAATGGCCCACCTTGATTATCATACACATTTTAAAGAGAGTGGTCAGTTTGGATGAGCTATTACCAGCAGGAGAGTGACTTTGTGTGGGGGGCGGAGGGTGAGAAAACCTGGATTTGTGCTGGAAATGGCCCAACTTGATGATCACTTTAGAAAGCTATTACCAGCAGGAGAGTGGGGTGGGAGGAGGTATTGTTTCATGGTCTCTGTGTATATAATGTCTTCTGCAGTTTCCACAGTATGCATCCGATGAAGTGAGCTGTAGCTCACGAAAGCTCATGCTCAAATAAATTGGTTAGTCTCTAAGGTGCCACAAGGACTCCTTTTATTTTATGTGACATGTATGCCAAATTATGACAGATAGGCATGTGTGATAATACACTCCAATAGAAGGATGTACTTCGTTCACAGTATGGTAATCCTGTGGAATTCACTTCTACAAGAAGTTATTGAGACATGCTTCCACCCTTTCTTGACTTTTATTTTTTTCTTCCCCCAATAATAACTAATAACTTTAGTATCTTTATGTAAAGTCTGAACAAATCCCAACATGTAGGGCAGTGGTGTAATCTGTTTTGGGAAATTCTGTGATTACTACCTAAAATCATCTGTTGAGAAACAGTTGAGTTGGACTAGGTAATTGCTCTCCTTTCCCGAGGAGAACCTCTTAGAAAGCATGCAGGTTTTTTCCCCTTTATACACCTTCCTATCTGAAACCTCACCTGCATGTCTATTTGACATTGCTCTTTAAGGAGCACTCCAGTTCAGTGCTAGCCCCTTCTGCTTCCTTGCAGCTTGACTGGGGGAGGGATTCTTGACACAGAAATTTCAGCAAGCCCAGCAAACACAAGGGTTGACAATTAAATGACTTCCCAAGCTTGACTCTGCTAAGACTGGATTCAGAGTAGCATCCGTGTTAGTCTGTATTCGCAAAAAGAAAAGGAGGACTTGTGGCACCTTAGAGACTAACCAATTTATTTGAGCATAAGCTTTCGTGAGCTATAGCTCACTTCATTGGATGTAGCTCACGAAAACTTATGCTCAAATAAATTGGTTAGTCTCTAAGATGCCACAAGTACTCCTTTTCTTTCTGCTAAGACTGTTCTGCAAAATCTTTCTTACGTAGTGGTGACTTTTTTACTATATATTTTTTTAAAAGTGAAAGCACTTGTGATACAGTTGTGATTTATTTATTTATTTTAAAATGTATATGTCTATTAAAGCCCATGAGTGATGGAGAAACTGAAGAAAAGGGAAGCCAGGTGCAACCTCTGGAGTCCTAGGGTATTTCCATACCACAATCAGGGGGCATGATTGCATGCAGCACATGTAGACGTCTATACCTGACTTGCTTTAATATGGCTAACTTGGGTACCTGTTGCAGTGAAGCTGTAGTACCATGGACAAGCCCACCTGGAATCCTGGGTAATTATTTGGGCAGCTATCCTGCACAGAAGCATGTGCTGCTGCTGCTTCACTGCTGTGACAACCAAGCTAGCTAGATTAAAGCTTTTGGATGTGCTACACGAGTTGAAATCACATCTCTGATTGGAGGGTAGGCATACTCATGGAGTGTGGCTCACAGCCATTCTCAACTTTAATATGGAGATCTGGCCCATGGAAATGACAGGGTGCAGTTATCAATCTTGATGAGCCAAGATCTAGATGGAATGTCATTAGAGAGAGAGAGAGAGACTATCCCCAATGTCTGCACGTTCCTATTAAAGATGAAGATGGCTGCGGTCTGCTTTGTTTTTGGGAAACTAAGAATAGCCCCATCAAGATCTTGTCACTTTGCCAATGAAGCCCTTGGTTGGGAAAAGTCTGGGCATCCTTGAGCTACATTAGATTGCTGAACCTTGCATTTCAAACTTCTGTTGAAATGTATGTTTTTAAGGCTTTGAATCTGGTCTCCTTCCAGCAAATGAATGGCAAAATTACATCAAATATATTTTAAAAATAAAACGTATTTGTAGAACGTCCTTGTTCATAACCACAACGCATTAAAGTCGGGGACCCATTTAAATGAAAAGAATAAATACAAATTACAAATCTTGGTAACAGCTCTTTGTGCAGGGCGCAGGCAAATACATTCTGATTTCTAATTAAAATTCTGTTTCTGGGAGTGCTTTTCAATATGATTGTCCCTGGAGTTATCTGCCGTATAAGGAGACAACCTAATTGGAAACAGCATGTACTGTTACAAATGTTCTGTCCCATTTACAATACAGAGGGTCAGAATTGTTTGTTAGAATGGAGGCAGGCAGTCGGACAGAGAATCCTAGTTTTCAGACATGTCATTATCGTTTTGAACTTCTTGGCACCAAGAGCCAGGATTTCCTGATGCTTAGAGCTAATGTAAAATGGTTTAGTGCTCCGAGGCATGAGCAACAGAATTGCCAGTCCCATGAGTTTGGAGATTTCAGCCTCCCCAAATTTTAACTGGTGTTGGAAGGTAAAGCCATATTTGCTATAGAGCCTAATTAAAAATAATAGCAGCTAGTCAGGGTTCTTTTCATGTATTATATAGTGTACATTTCATCCATACCATAACATAATTCTGGAGTATTTTTATGCTTTCATTTTAAAGCTAACAAGAACCTTATGTTAAGAATTTGGAGGGGGGAGAAACCAGTTCCAGCTTTTAATAAACCAGTTTCTTGTTATAAAAATGATTCATTTTTCTACTAATTATTGGATAGTTTTCATAAACTAGTTTAGTTACTGGGAGAAGGAATGGCCAGCTGCTGAAATGATACATATTTACATGTGCTTTGAGTCTGTTTGCATGAAACATATTTTTATTTGTTGTGCTTTCTGACTGGTTTAGATGTTCTGGAATGAATAGGAAGAGTTCAATTCACTTGATGATGGGGGTGCTGTGGGAAGGGTCCAGATCTATCCAATTAAGACCATCCTGTAAAATCTGAGGCAAGTGATAACATTAAGCTGAAACTGAGTCAATACCATTGGCTGTGAAGAATCCACATTTTCCTTCTCCTTTCTATAGCAATATCGCAGAGACTCCTAAAACTCTACATGTCCTATTGCCATGAGGCTATTTCCTACAATTACAGCATGGTGTACAAAAGCGTACAGGACATAAAGACAAAGTCCTTGCCTCAAGGAATTTATAATCTACGTAAACCATACAAATCAGATACAAAGGGTTCATTTTCCCATGACTTTGCACCTCTAATGAGCGCTTGCATGCATGATAACAGGCCCAATTGGTATCGGTGCCCACGGTGTAATTGTAAAAGAAGGCCCTAATAGGGCTTAAGTGAGTTGTGGTAGCCAACAGTTACACCTGGCCTGAGGGATTTGGTGACGACATGGCCAAAGAAATGGGCCCACCATGAAATGTTCAAAAGGGCACAGCTGGGCTCAAGCTGTCACCTCTGCACCAAAAGTTTCCAGCATAAGCTGTATCTGATAACTGCACGAGATGACCCAACCTACACCAGCTGCACCAGAGGCAAAGAGGCATTCATCTGACAAACAGTTTGAGGTTGCAGCACACTCCAGCTGAGGGTCAAGGGCAACCTCTGCCTCTTGAGTATCATCAATAAATTTTCATCAGTACTGCATGAGAAAACACAAGAGGAAACTTGTTAGTCAAAGCAGGGCCCAATGCTGTAGCCACATAGGATGAGCGCAGCCAAACAAATAGCCACTATAAAACAACTGACTTCCTCTCAGTACTCAACTACTGTGGTCTGGGCTCTGTTCCAGTAGACACTGGGACTGCAGACCTACAGCTGCTGAGGTTCACTTATTCAAATAGGTCAGTTATTGAGCCAAGAGCTTAACTGGAATCCAAACTGGATTAGATACTTATAGGCACCTGGCCTGTGTGCCCTAAAGCATAGGACAGGCATGTCTCATTCTAATGTAAATCCAAGAAATAAATATGAATAAGGACAGCCACAGATCCATTAGATTGGATGTAAAATGTTAAGGGCATAAATTGTCTGTCATGGGGTTTCTTGTGCTTTCTTCTAAAGCATCTGATACTGACCAC